ACACGTGATCCCTTATATCTTTATAATTTTTTCAAAAGCAGCTCATTTTACAGGATTTATTTTTGTAAAAACAAAGATAAGGAATCACTTTTTTTTTTAAATATACATCCATTAGCTTCCATTCGTATCAATTTTTTACAATCACTTACAAACTACATTCATAATGATTTTTCAAAACAATTTTTAATTTTTTTCAAAATCGATTATTTTTCTCTTTTGTTTTCATAGCGAAAAAATTTGTTCAGGTTGAAGAAATAAAGATAATTATTGTTAATTATGGACTCATGTAAGCTTAAAGTTCTTTCAACGAGCAAAGTGAGTATGGACTAACATACACACATAGTATGGTTTCAAAACAAAAAGGCAAATTAATCCGGAGCTTGGCGTGTCTGCGGAAGTCGGGAAAGCATTAGTTTCGAGCTCCTCTCGACCACTATTGGCTCTGCTTCTGACGATTAGCAATCGTGGTGCAGTTCCGCCACTGCTACCGAGTTCTGACCCGAATGGGGTCGGTCATTAGAAAGCGACGAGCGAAATTATCCCGGGACTGAGCGGAAACTACCTTGGCGGGATTAATGCGCAAGGAGCAGGACTAGTCGTGATGGTAGCTCCACTTTAACAAACAAACATACTTGCGAATATATAAATCCGAGAACAAAGGCAGAGACCGCTGAATATTGAATTTATTTCACGCGAGAGATTAATGGCGAATTTGCATAAAATTAAACCGGCCACTGTGGCGAGCAATTATTTTCGAGTGCGGCCCGAACCGTATGCGCAATTGAGCACAAAGGGATCCGAGTTCCAGAAGGAGGGGAGAGGCGCCTCTGAATGCCAAACACCTACGCCAGGCTCGCCCACCTCCCCATTCCAAATCACACACACGCACGTGTTTGTTTTGCTGCTCGCTCACACACATTTGCTCGAAATCGTGTTTGTTTTCTGAAATCCAATCACATGTGAAAACTCGGCAAAATCAAATTTGTCCAAATGAGAGAATTTACGAGAGCCTAAAATATCACGTGATGTCCAGTATATTAAATTTGTTGATGTTCATTTTCGTTTTTGCTTGTTTTCAATTGATATATGAGTTGTGAATTTGATTGAGCGTTTTCATTTGACACGTTTTGCCAATCAAAAACTCTCAAAATTTCAATTTAATTGGTATTCATGTGCGATACAACTTGATGGTTTTGAATTTCAGGCTTCAGCATTGTAACTGGAAATTTGACCGAATTCCAAGTGGAAAAATTATATTATTTTTCTTGAAGGATGTTGATTCAGGTGAAACACTCCAACAGTAATTTGTATAAGAAAAAGTCATTTTCTTTTATATTCAAATATGCTTTGACTCTAGAAAATTTAAAAATCTCTTATTAAACCTACAGTGTAGCAATCATTTTTGTACGTATTATTATAGTTTGTCTCTTTCATAGCCAATAGGATATTTTGAGGTCGAGTCTTATCTGTTTACTAACAAAAACAATTTAATCTGGGAGAAAAGTCGGTACGATAACGATCGCCTATTTTCTATTTTTCAATTGTCTGTGACATTGGACAATAGGCATTGTTTCATAAGATTGATTCTTTTAGATTATTTTGAATCACTTAATAATTGCAACTTAAAAATTCATGGTGAATTAAAATTAATTTATGAAAATCATTAAAAAAGTTTCTACGGGTAATTGTTCTTTTTTGTGTGGGTTCACCGCGGCGGCCGCGTCTCTTTTGATGTCAGGCGTTTTAGCAGACCTTTGCTAGTTTTGATACCCTTTCTGCTAATTTACCCAATTTCAAATTTTTTGTATGACACGAGTAGAAAAAAATAATAATAACAGATATAGGATACGGCGGATACCGTAATAAAAACATTTTTCAAATAAGATTAAATGCTTAAAAAAAATCGGTCCTACACGATACTTCCCTTTCTTTCATGAAATTCCATCTTGAATTTTGATTTTCACCCCTGCCGCTCTCGCTCAAAACAGTGCCACCCGCAGAGTGTTTGTGGTTATCAAATTAACCCTTTGGCCGCGTGCTCGTCCAGCCTAGTAGGCCGGATCAGAAGAAACTCTTTCGCAATCGGCCAACTTTTCAATTAGAGAGGCGTCAGTTGGGGCCCCTTTGAAGATGATTCGCCTGCGGGCCGGATCGTTTTAGCGGTGCAGCGAGGGGTGAACGGCGCATCCCTTGTATTGGCCGGTCTCTTCATTTGCCTGCCAAGCTCGCATGATAAATAAACTGGAGGGTCGCACCTCCTCGCCGAAACACAAAGTGTCGCTGGCTTGCTTTGACACTTAAGTGAAAACTTTGTTGGCCGATGGGGTGTGTAATGTAATACGCAACGGCACTCGTGGGACCGCTTAAGTCGAAAGTTCAAACGTGCGCACCATCATAACATAAATTGACCAGGGCTCTATACCCGCCTATTTAATTAAACTTATTGCCTCTTTGCGGCGCGCACACCACGCGTGCAAGCCTCGGCTAAATTGGCCAATTTTAGCGCCAAGAAAATTGCGGGAAACTCAGGATATGGTGCGTGAGAAATTTGAAGGGACAACGGGCAATGCAGCATAAAATTTTAAATTTGCTTCATCCTTTTATGAAGTATATTTCAAGAGAGTTCAAATTGTTTGGAATTGTTGCTACATCTTGCCTCTTTTAACTTGAGACAAATAGTTTGTTTACACACAAAAAAGAAAAAAAATTGATTTATCCTGAATTAATCCAAAAACGATCTAGTTAATATAGTTTCTTAATGAAATATTGAAACCTTGTAAAAAAAATTATAATAAATAAAAACATGCAGTCTGATAGCAATTCTTTATTTAATTCTCATCCATTAATATTTTAAGGCAATTAATTTATTTTTAAACTTAAATTTTTGAGAGAGGGAATATTATTTAAAAGGACTAGCTTGGCAGGATGGACATTGATTATCCAGAGAAGAATAAAAATAAAATTTGTAATGTTATACTAACATCCTATAAAAAGTGCATTAATTCTACATTTTCCATTTTTCAACAGTTATTTCATATTTTATCAAAGTAATCTTAAAAAAAAAACATAATTTTCTTGAAAATAATTCGCCATAATTCTGAAAAGTATCATTTATCCCAGCCGTAATAAAAACAAAACACGTATTTCATTATTATTTTTACTTTGATAAAATATGAAAATTCTGCATCATCTCCGTGAGAGAGTCACTCATTCATGAAACCGTGTCCTCATTAAAAATATTAAAGCAACACCGTATTCATTTGATAGTAGTTCAAAGCATCACGGAATAAAAAGCATCCTCCTTTATCGCGTTAGTGCATTATTTTTAATTACTGGTGGCGCATGAAATGTGTTCAACACGGTGCGCTTTGCAGCTCTTTTCTCGGTTTAAACGGCGCAGCACATATAAAAGGCGCAGCGATATATTTACGAGCGGCGGCTGCGAAGGTGATAAATAGGTTCGATGTGACCCATTTCGGCTCGGGAAAAATTAAAAGTGTCGCCACGGGAGTGCTTGGGCGAGAAAAAATAATGCATGAATATGGAACGTGTGCGCTTTTTTCGACGCAGAACAGATTTAATTTCGATAAAAATAGAAAATGACGAAGTGCCGATGAAAACGCCGAGCTGCAAATCGATCGCTTGGTCCGAGAGATGGAATTGTCGGCGGGAAATTGAGTGAGGGCGGTCGCGGAGAAAAGTGCATCGCGTGCACCTAGATTGTGCACTCGTAGCACTTTTTGCGATAACAATTTCGTTCTCTCGCCGTGCATCGCCAATTGTGATGCCAAGAATACGTCTGACTGAGTAAATTAGACGATTTCTTTTCAAATGACGCCACCGCTGACGGCAAAGAAATGCAGTTCACTCGCTTCTCTTTGCAAAGTTATTATTCTGCTGACGATGGGAATGCCAAAATGTGATGTGCTTTGAAGTTAAATTTTATATGGAAATTATCTCTTTTTCACTTAGAGTTTATTACATTAATGTTATCTTTTGGCAATTGGGTAAGAATAAATGTATCATTTTAAAATGGTCCATTGCACTTGACATACATAGACACCTTTCACAAACTTCCAGATACACATGTTTATAAAAATTATCGGAAATATTTTTAGTACATTGTGCATACCTGATTTGAAAAGTCTTTTCCCAATTTATTTGATGTATTTTTATTTCTTGAATGCCATTAACTCAGCAATTTTCCTATTTCGTTTATCTGTTGCTTGGTTAAACACTTTATTCCGGTACTTTATTTAGTCCCGCATCAAACAAGGTGAAAAAAGAGTTGAACGTTGAACAAATCATAAATATTTTTTTAGTTTACTCTTATGAACACAATATAATATAATATCTATTTATGGCCTGTCTCAAAAGAATTTTTTCATCAAAGACATATCTTTGCTAGTAGAACTTTGATTGCTTTTTAAAATTTCATAGTCTTTTGAAACATAAAAATTTACTCCCTCCTCCTGATTGTTCTTTCCTTCATTGTATTGGGGAAATAAATATTCCATCCTAGTTTCTTTTGTTCCCAAGAAAGAAAAACGAAAAACAGATTCCCTTTTATATGAAGTCTTCTTGAGTATAAAACGTAATCCAACATTTTACGTGAGAAAAACAATTGATTGCATTAGAAGATCGTTTAGATCGTAATTAACTTATGATAGTGAACAGCAGTTTTTTTTATTAAAGGGTGGGAAAAAATAAAACACATCCACCGTGAGAGGCTAACTTCACTCCTCTCGTTCCGTCCGCAAATATTGAATCTCTGCGTGCTACCAGCACGTACCACACAATATTCAATTAAGGAAGCCGCTGCTTATGCAACCTGTGCAGCTTCCACGCTCGGCGGGCCCATCCACTTTAACTCTCTGGCGATATACTCGGGGCGGATCATTTAGTTCTATAATAGAGCAGAGTGCTGCAGTACAGTAATTGATTCGGATGAGCTGTCTGCGAATTTGCATTTAACCGCTTCGATTGTTAATGTGTTGCAGGCGGCCGGATCGACCACGCCCATCACTACAACAACGCCCGCCGCGCGCTCGAGGAGACCCTGGCCATGGAGACGGCACTGCAGGCAGCAATGACCATGCTCGACCCCAGCAACACCTTGTTCGTCGTCACCTCGGACCACTCGCACGTGATGACCCTCGGCGGCTTCGGGACCAAGAGGGGGAATCCAATTTTGGGTGAGAATTTTATGATTGCTAACGAAAATATAGGAAAATGGCCAAATTTGAAGTGGAACAAAAAATTCTATAAATAATTTTATTTTTATTTTCTTTGAACTCTCATTTCAAACGATTTTTTAAACTTGTTTTAGTAGAATTAAAACTATTTCGATATAATCATTATTATTGAGTGGATTATGTAAGTATAAGTCCCCCCCCCCCCTAAATTTGAGCTTAATTTCAATCTCTAAAATTAAATTTTAATTGTTACTGAAAGAGCTTAGAGCTTACATGTTAATTTTGTAATCTAAATAAATTTCGATTAAGCTGCTGCGTTAGAATTAAATTTCAAAACTGCTCTAATTGTAACCGATGGTAATCAAACTTGAGCATTTTTTCAATTAGTCAGTTTATGTTTGTCTATACTTTGTGCATGGAGAATTAGCCGTTGGAATTATGATTGTGGAGCCGCGCGCGTGTCACCCGCCGATAGCGAGAGGCAATTTCGAAACTTATTAGCTGGCAATCAGCCAAAAAGGACCTTTCCACCGTGCTCTCTGTATACGGCCGTATGTGTGCAGCAACTCATAAACACAAATTGATTCACATCAAACGCTGCCTGCCTCAAACTCCCACGCTCCGATGCTATTTGTTGAAACTGCGACCCGCGCGCACGTGCAGCGAAAACGTATATAAAACGTCAAAATGTAAACCCGCCGCGACCCCGAGTTTATACAATTTGAAAAGTAGTGTGCCATCTCGTCAAATCGTCCGGTCAACACGTCATAAATGAAAACGATGTCCAATCCACCGTTAAACCTGCACCATGCATTTAATTAGTGACGTGAAAGTGATGGCAATTTATATAAAATAGAACACACATGTATGTCCATAAATGAGACTTGTCAATTTAATTTAAGTATTCATGCTGATTATAACATATATCTAACATTTATTAGCAAAATAAAAGGCCATAATTTTAATAATGAACATAAATTTGATTTATCAATGATAAAAATTAACATTAAGGCGCATTAATCTCCAAGCATGTGAGAGGGAGCAAAAAAATATTAAACTGATAAATTTTATTTGAACGATTTTAACAACATTAATCCTTTTCCTATATTTCACATTCAGAACAATTAAAACTTTGTTCAAATTAATTTTTTATCAAAATTTTTCATGATTAGGGATAGTTGATTAATTTAAATTTTATTAATAACAATTTGCCACAAAATATTTTCTGAAAATTATAATGAATTGTTTTTTTGCGCTTTAAGAAGTAAGAAGTACAGGCACTTCACTTTTAACATCAATTTTTTTTATTACTATTTTTTTATATTAATCAAACAATTTTGTCACAAACAATCGCTGAAGTCACGTTTGATGAAATTATTGTAGGAATGACTGGTGAATTTTTGCAGGCAAATTGTTCAATCAATTCTAAACATTTGATTAAAAAAAATCACAATACAGCATTTTGTGTGTACATATTATTAAAGTGCGGGCTTATAATTTTTTCAGTTCTGTAGGCAACATGGGAGTTAATGAAGCGAACTAGCGAATTGTGTTTACCAACTTGTGCGGTCGCCGCATCGGCACACAGTTCTATACGCATCTCTTTCATTATTAAATTTTATGGCGAATATTGAATTGAATTTATTCGTGCGGGCCTGCAGTGCGCCAAATTAAACCATACGACATGACCAATCAATTTCATTATACTCGCGATGGATTCTATCAACCCTTTCCGCTGTGTGTAAAACTTTAATTGAATCTGACGCATTTCTGCCTGCCTTTCCCTTGGAATTTCAAGTAGGTCACCGCAATTATATATTCCCCGCTGAGGAAAGGGGGATGTTGTGCGTTAAATGACGTTATAAAAAATAAATAAAATATCCAAAAGACAATTTGAAAATTATGAGGTTGGAGGTCATTCAGGCTTAAGACATCAGTTCTTAACAAAATAAAAAAGCTGATGTAAAAAATATATATCCAAAATAATAATAAAATATTTCAAATATGTGTGGATTTCTGAGGTTTCATGAATATTGGTGCAAAAATTAATTATTTTGATTAATATCTTCTTTTAAAAAATAAATGAACTGCAACTTGCTTTTCCTCGTTACATAGTTTGTTTTTGTAAACAGAAGTAACAACAACTTGACTAGTTACAGCTATTAGCTGGAGGCTTGATTTCTTGTGCATCACAGTAGAACGTACCCTGATGACTGAATATTATAAAAATAAACAATTCGGTGCATTTTTTTTTTTTTTTTAATTTTTGTTCTTGTTTTCCATATACTTATAAATTTTATTGGTACAAATTTAGTTTATTAAAAAACAATTTGATTTATATTTTATTTTAAGAAACTTCAAGGTGAAGTTTGTTATTAAGTTTTGCAGATCAGTTTATTAATTGTAAATTTTAAAATAATTTTCAGATACCAGCATATATAGGCCCTATGTAGATAAGATTACCCATTTTTTTTTTTCAACATTTTGCCAATAAGAAATATTTTTTTGTGCGCTCACTGCCGCCGACCCTTTTCAAATCAAAACACGGATCCCTGGCAATAAAGAACAATATTGCTCCGTATGTTCCGCACTTTATTTGCTCGCCTGGGGCGGTTCACAACAAATTTTCGTGTGCACCCGTGTGCGGAGACGCGAAATTAAATCCGGCGCCGGAGTGGAATTCATTTTGATAAAAACGGATTTCATTTTTTCTCCTCGAAGAATTTTTCTCCAAACCTGCTACTTTTTGGCAAACACACATTTTTCCTCATTGTGAATGGAAAGAAAGTGTGTTTCGTTGCAACTTTTTGACATAAATTTCAAAAGGTCTGGTCGCCGTAGATAATTCAATTTCGTGCCGCGTTCGCGGCACAATACCGCCAAATTTCCACAACACCAGTTCGCCACATTCGAGTTTTATTTACTTCTGCCCTCTGGTAGGTTTATATCTATTAAGGGTCCGTGGTCATTTTCAATGTCAGGGAGCAAAAGTCTCTCTTCCGCAGCAGCCTGCCTGCTTTTTCTCGCTCGAGAGAAAAAAATTAGAAGAAAACGTCGGGCACTCCCATTTTTCCTTGTTATTTATTATTTGGTGCGCGAGGCGCTTAGGTGCAGCAATAAAGCAGGGCTGTAATTCAACTTTTCAAGTGCACACCCCACTTGTTCTAATAAGGAAATTTGCTCGCCGCAAAACATAAATAACTGAGATTCCGATATACGCCATCGTAATGAGAGTCAAGTGCTGAATTTTGGTCAGGGTTGGAAATGCCCAGGGTTATTTATTATGTTTCACTATACCAATCAAACTTTGTTTCTGCGGAGTGGAGCGGCTTAAGAAAGGAATTTGGTTGTCAGAATTGGCCGAGAGGGCCTTTGTGGTCTAAAGTTTCGCAATCACTCACCGCGCTAACTTTATTCTGCAAGGGCACCGAGGATCGCAAACTCCACGCTTTGAGCTCCAATGACATGATGATAAAATTATTTTTAATTTTAATTGTATTAAAATTGCTACAATAATAAAACTACAATTGAACCTAAAAATATTGTTACTTATTTTATTTTATTTATTTGTTAGTAATATTTTGAAGTTTGAAGCAAAATTATTGAGCAAATGAAACTAACATAAGCTGCGTTTTTTTTTCACAATCAGAACTATTTATTATTTTCTGTTAAATAAGCTGAATCTATTATACTTAAAAACTCAATCTTTGTTCTTTAGAAAGCTGCTGCGAGCATCACCAAGTCTCATTATCAACAATTTAAAATATGAGCGATACATGTTAAATTGCTTTGAACAATTACACGATCTAATAATTCGTAAAAATGCTAGGTTTTCAGTAATTGCACAGAAGGATTGTCTAAATTCCATTTTCTTAGTTGCATTATTTCTATTAACAAAAAGCGAGATTTTAACTTTACTCAAATATCTCTTACCCAGAATCGTGAGGAAATTTTAAATGTCACGTGTCTTAACAATAATTTATAAAACCTTAAAATGAACTATGTATAATAATTGATATTTGTTGATAAATATTTTTAGAATAGAGATAACGATGATTTTTTTTAATTCTTCTTTTTTGACGCTTCATCATAAACGTGGTAATCATTATAATTGTTTATTCTTCAAATATCACGAAAATGGAGGCAATTATATAATCATGGATTTATTGGTCTTAAAAATATTAATCGACTGAAACCAGAGACAGAGAGATCTTCAGATTTAAATTAATAATTATGGTGAAAAACTTTAGTAAAGGTATAAGGCATTAATAAAATTTTCGTTTAAGCGGTAAATAATTATTAAATTTACTGTAAAATATTTTTGCGGATTTTAATTTTTTATTTACATGTTATTTTATTATTATTTGATGAATAAGAAATGAGCAAAATACCGAAAAATACTAAATTATACGAAATTATATAAGTTTTTTTATTTCTGAATTTTTTAATTTTTCTAATTTGAAACTTATTGATAAACTTCTGTTCTAATTTTATGAAAAATTTTTGCAGGCACCGACATCAAGCCGTCGGACGTGGACCAGATGCCGTACACAACCCTTTTGTACGGCAACGGCCCCGGCTTCGGTCGGCACCCAGTGAGCGGCAAACGCGACAACATGACCGGTTCGGACCCGTTGGACAAGAACTACGTGCAGCAGGCGGCCGTGCCACGACAATGGGCAACACACGGCGGCGAGGACGTGCCCGTGTACGCACAGGGCCCAATGGCGCACGCCTTCCGCGGGGTCATCGACCAGACGTTCATCCCGCACGCGATCGCCTACGCGGCGTGCGTCGGTTCGCAGAAGGACCGGTGCAGTGAGCCGCAGAAGGACGCGGCGTGTCCGACCGACCCGGCGGCCGCGGCCTCCTCGTCCGCCGCCGACCGCAAGGAAAACGTGTCGACGCCGCACGCCCAGCGTCCGGCCCTTACCGTGGAGGCGGCGGCTGCCGCCTCTGCCGCCCCCGCGGCCTCTATAGCGATGGCCCTCGTCCTGCTGGCTGCGACCCTGGCCGCCTGCACTAGTTGAATGGGACTTTGAAGAGCGGCCGAGTTAAAGAATCGCCGCGCCGAATCGGAATAATATCATTTTATTCACGGACAGAGATCAATGATATTTTAGCAAGAAGGGTATTTTTTATAATAGGACTTACTCTCTAATGTGGTGATGTTCTCGATTGCGATTTTAAAAGTGCTGGTCTCACAGATTAAAATAGTTCAACAGAGGATGGAATTGAAGTCATGCAATTTGTATAGGCTTACAAAATTTATCCCATCCCTTTTGGTCATATTTTTATTTTGAACAATGTTAATTTGTAAAGGCTCAATCATTTTTCATTATATCTTTTACATTGAATTACAATGAGTATTTTTGAAGCTAAAAAAAGTAAAAAATAATTTTTTCTCCCATTTGGAAATTAAAAATTGCACATTAAGCTGTCATTAATTTTTGCTGTTCACAAATCTCCAGATTCACTTGCTTACTAAATTCTCTGAAATAATTTATAGTTGCAAATTGTGTTTATTGATCTATCACAAAGGCAATTGCACGGGACACATCATTTATGCATTCAAAAATTATACAAATTTAAAATTTAATTCAAAATGATTTTCGAAACTAGGTCTGGGAAGCTATTACAATACATTTAATAATTCAGTTAATATAAAAAGATTCCCAATATTATGAACAAACAAATTATCAAGATTATTCAAACGCCACGTTTATATATTTTAGTCTTGTTTGAAGTAAATTCCCAGACTTTGTTATTTTCAGGCTAGGTTTCTGGGTGAAATTTTTGCTTTTTATTGGTCATTGGTTAGTTTGCAATCTTTTGCCTTGAACTGTAGAGAAACTCAACCAACTTTTAATGGAGGAGACAAAGTAATACTACTAAAAGCACCAATTTAAATTTATAAAGAAAATAATTATACTAATAATTATACAGGGTGGCCCATAAGTAATCCGTGGTTTTTAAACGCTCGCCACGAACGAACGGCTGGACGAAATTTCATTTTCTTGGCAGATTCTGAAAGCCCAACTTCACAAGTTTTTGGCTGGCACAATGAGAAATTTCGCAAATTTGAAAATCCAATAGATTTTACAGGAAAACTAAAAAGTGCCAAGTTGCCTTATGGGAGCGCCCATGTAGCGGAAAATGAGTGTTCGAGGGTAGAAGTGTGAAACATGTTTTTAGGGGTAAACGACCTCCCTGAACACCGTGACGTGGCCAGATTCTCGAAATTTTGCTTCCTTCTAATTTTTTTCTTGACCAATTTATTATTTGCAAAAAGTGATCAAAAAAAATGAACGCTTGAAGATAAAAATCTGCAAATTGCTGGAGGTGTGGATCTTGAACATAAAAACAACGTAATTTTCCAAACTTGTTATTTTCTGGAAAATTGCCCATTTTCACAAGGGGTCCACGTTTTGGTCCATTTCTCAACTTCTATGGGAGCTAGAAACAAAACTTGAGGTGATTCTGAAAGCTGATTAAATTTCCAATTTTTTTTTTTGTAAACAGCAACTTTCCAACGACGGCTGATTTTCCGGAAAAGTAAAGTAAAAAACTAACTTATTTTTCACAGGGAGTATGCAACCCGCAACCAAAAGTCTAAATAGCCAAAATGTAGCTTGGTTCTTTGGCAAAACACCCCTAAAATTTCAAAACTTTTCCTTCAGCCGTTTTTCCGCAATCGCCGATTTTCCCGACCCCTTTTGAGGAGAACAAAACTTTTCCGGAAAGGCGTTTGTGATACATCATTCGATTAGGCACATCAAGGAGATGCTAGAAATAAAATTTTATCAAAATCGGATCATTTTTCCAATTTTTAGAGCAGTTTGAATTTCCAATTTTTTTTAATTAATGGAAAATGCTCTAAAAATTGGAAAAATGATCCGATTTTGATAAAATTTTATTTCTAGCATCTCCTTGATGTGCCTAATCGAATGATGTATCACACACGCCTTTCCGGAAAAGTTTTGTTCTCCTCAAAAAGGGTCGGGAAAATCGGCGATTGCGGAAAAACGGCTGAAGGAAAAGTTTTGAAATTTTAGGGGTGTTTTGCCAAAGAACCAAGCTACATTTTGGCTATTTAGACTTTTGGTTGCGGGTTGCATACTCCCTGTGAAAAATAAGTTAGTTTTTTACTTTACTTTTCCGGAAAATCAGCCGTCGTTGGAAAGTTGCTGTTTACAGAAAAAAAATTGGAAATTTAATCAGCTTTCAGAATCACCTCAAGTTTTGTTTCTAGCTCCCATAGAAGTTGAGAAATGGACCAAAACGTGGACCCCTTGTGAAAATGGGCAATTTTCCAGAAAATAACAAGTTTGGAAAATTACGTTGTTTTTATGTTCAAGATCCACACCTCCAGCAATTTGCAGATTTTTATCTTCAAGCGTTCATTTTTTTTGATCACTTTTTGCAAATAATAAATTGGTCAAGAAAAAAATTAGAAGGAAGCAAAATTTCGAGAATCTGGCCACGTCACGGTGTTCAGGGAGGTCGTTTACCCCTAAAAACATGTTTCACACTTCTACCCTCGAACACTCATTTTCCGCTACATGGGCGCTCCCATAAGGCAACTTGGCACTTTTTAGTTTTCCTGTAAAATCTATTGGATTTTCAAATTTGCGAAATTTCTCATTGTGCTAGCCAAAAACTTGTGAAGTTGGGCTTTCAGAATCTGCCGAGAAAATGACATTTCGTCCAGCCGTTCGTTCGTGGCGAGCGTTTAAAAACCACGGATTACTTATGGGCCACCCTGTATTATATATTTTTTATTTTAAATATTAAATCAGACTGTTTTTTATTTTTTTATTAATGAACTTTAATTTCATGCAGCAAAAGAATAAACAGAAATTTATAACCATTTACCAAGCCAGTGCTGAATAATCGCAATCTCCCACCTTCAAAGTGACTCTTGCATAAAACAAAGAGAAAAAGGAGAAGCTATGGTTGTTCGAAATGTGATTCCTGCGAAACGAAGAAAAAGTGTTGTGTGTGCGTGTGTGAGAATGTATGCGTTCAGCTTAGCAAGTGTTGGCGAGAACCTTGTCTTTTTACTATATATATAACAAGAAAAAAACTTCTCATAGTTTGTATGAACAGAAAAGACAAAACCCTCGACAGATTCTCCGGCGCGCAGTTGTGTGTTGCGACGTGACTACGGGCGTTGCACTTCTCCCCCTGCAAAACTATAGAATTGAAGGCACACAATCTCCTTGCACTAAAGTGCTCGCGCAAAAACTGAATTGCCAGTGCTCGTTTTGTTTCCTTCTGTTTCATATATGAAAAAGCAGCAGCAGAAATTCTCTGTCAGATGTTTTGAAAACGTTTTCTTTCAGGATTATATTTGTTCGCCCGTAATTGGAAATTGGGAAATTTCCCTTCCATTGACGAGAGGAGTGTTTAGTTGCAACATTTTGAGGGATAATAAGGAATTATTTGTAAAATTGTTGTTTAAGAGGATTCACTATTGAAAATAAAAAAGAGGACTACCTGTTTAATATGCTGTCTTTTTTTTTAACAAATTATTCTTTCAATTGTACCCTTTTTATTTCTATTTAATGGGGCTCTCTGATTATTATTCTTGAATCCAAAAGAAAATAATTTTCATGTTTTACCCAAATCGCCATCAATTATTCAGAAGGGATGAAAAGGGGTTCATCAAAGGTTCGCCTGATCAGCCAAAGCGTTTGAACCTCGTTGACTTTTATCATTTGATTGCCAAATCACTTAATTCCACCAAATAAGAAATATCTAAAAAAAATATTTCCCTAAGATTCAACGTTCAAATTATTTGGGTGAGAAAAAACCTCTTTGATGAACCCCTGAAATTTTCAATCGGAATTTTTATCAAAGTGTAGAAATTTTTGGAAATTTTATTACTTTTGAAATCAAACAAAAAGATAAAAATAAACAGTGGGGAAGGCCTTAAAGGGGATTTATTTTTTCATGTGGGATAATTGAATGGAATTCATAATGTTGATGTGCACATTTTTTTGCACCAAATGATGTGGAGTGAAAAAAATGTAGTAGGAATGCTTTTTTTCTACTCACAACTCATACAACGCATTGTATACATTTGCACAGAAAGAGAGAGCGCGAAAATAAGCTGATTACGGAAAGTGTGATAAATGAGACCCAGCACAGCTATGATATAATCCAGCCCCTAACACACGCCCGTCGCGAATAATGCAAGGTGTAGATAAAATACGCCTTTCCACCCACCCACACCCTTGTGGTGCGAGAGAGTGGAATTATTTGGGCTGTGTCTGTACATCACGAGCCTGCAACATATGCCACCGACGCGACAAGCCTTGTGTGCATCACAAACGACCAAAAAATAAATGGAAATGGGCAAAATGTGGGAGCTCAGGAGTTGCGGGTTGCGGAATGGATGAGAGGAGCTCGATATTGGAGCTGCATGACGTCACCCCGCGACAATGAAGAAGAGAATTAAGTACCTGAAAATTTTATAGAAAAAAATATTGTATATATATGAATTCAAACAAGGAGTTTACTTTTAATTAATTTTATTGAATGCTTATTTTTGTATGACGTTCTAGAAGTTTAAAATATTCACTTATTTATTATAATACTTATTTCATATCAAATACAACAAATATCCTCAATTAAGACAATTTAGCCAATTTAGATATGCAAGAAACCTTTACGCGAGTACATAATGTGTTTCCTAATATCAAATTAGAATTATGTATTAATTAAAGAAGCAAATATGTGTATTGTATTAAGTGTTGATAAATTACAATGTTCACGCCATAATGTGGTTAGGCTTTCTGAATTTTTTTAAAGTTATCTGCTTTCTTTTCAATATTTTTTTCCCTTTTATTCCTTTGATAATGAGAGATATAGGGTGGGTCCGAATATCAGAGAAACGATTCTAGAAACGATTCTTGAGAAACGTTTCTCGAGAAATGATTCTGGAGAAACGTTTCTCGAGAAACGTTTCTCGAGAAATGATTCTAGAGAAACGTTTCTCGAGAAAAGATTCTCGCGCAAGGATTCTCAAGGATCGATTCTTTAGTTGAGTTTTAAAGGCAGAAACGATCCTGGAGAATCTTTGCGCGAGAATCTTTTCTCGAGAAACGTTTCTCTAGAATCATTTCTCGAGAAACGTTTCTCGAGAAACGTTTCTCCAGAATCATTTCTCGAGAAACGTTTCTCAAGAATCGTTTCTAGAATCGTTTCTCTGATATTCGGACCCACCCATAATTTATTTTGACGTCATTTTTACCGCGCACTCAAAAGTAACGAGTTCAAAAAACAATCTTTCGTCAAAACAGTGCCAGATGCCAGCACCGGTCGCTAACACGATCAGCGGCGCATAGCGGCGGTCGTTGACACTTTGACAGTTCAGCTTTCAGCTCAGCTCACCGTCGCCATCATTTTATAGATCGAAGGAATTATTCGCCGTTGTTGTTGCGCCGAAAATTTGGGTAATTTTAACGGAAATATTTAAGCTGGCTTTGCATGTAATCATTGGATTTGAAGTTTATTAATCAAAGGATGTTTTCAGGCTAGAGTTGGCGAGGAAAAAACTGTAAATCAAGATGATCGGAGGCCTCTTCGTGTACAACCACAAGGGGGAGGTTCTCATCTCTCGGGTGTACCGGGACGACATCGGACGCAATGCCGTGGACGCTTTCCGCGTCAACGTCATCCACGCGAGGCAGCAAGTGCGCTCGCCGGTCACCAACATCGCCCGAACCTCGTTTTTCCACATCAAGGTGAGAATATCAAGAAATAAAAGAGACCGGAAAGGAAATCGATAAGCCAGGAATCGACGCCCCCTTTTTTGACACATACATTTTCTGACTTGGTTTTCTGCATTCCAGCGAGCGAATATTTGGATGGCCGCGGTCACCAAGCAGAATGTGAACGCCGCCATGGTGTTCGAGTTCATGCTCAAGGTCATCGACGTCATGCAGTCCTATTTCGGAAAGATTTCGGAGGAAAATATCAAGAATAACTTTGTGCTTATCTACGAGCTGCTTGATGGTTTGTGAAATTTGTTTAAGTAAAATTGACTTTATTCATATGCACATTTCATCTGAAAAGGACATTAAATGCTATGTCTTTATTAGAAAAAAAACTTTTCATAAAAATTAGTCATTTTTTCAGTTCTTTAGTTGATATTTCTGTGAATTATTAACTTTTATTTGATTAGTTAGTTTACGTTGTTTGCCTAGCGCTAAAAAAATTTTGGCTTTAATTCATTTTCCTAAATTTTAGAAATTCTGGACTTTGGCTACCCCCAGAACACTGACACTGGTGTGCTGAAAACCTTCATCACCCAGCAGGGAATCAAGTCGCAAACTAAGGAAGAGCAAGCCCAGATCACCTCTCAGGTCACCGGCCAAATCGGTTGGCGCCGAGAGGGAATTAAATACAGGCGCAACGAACTCTTCTTGGACGTCCTTGAATACGTCAATCTGCTTATGTCTCCACAAGGTCAGTTTGTTAACTAAAAAGATTAAAAAGAGTTTTATTTTACTGTTCCTGTTTATTTAGGCCAAGTCTTGTCTGCCCACGTTGCGGGAAAAGTTGTCATGAAGTCTTATCTGTCTGGCATGCCCGAGTGCAAGTTCGGAATCAACGACAAAATTGTTATGGAGGCCAAAGGCAAGGGAATGACAACCGAGGATCCGGCCAGGTCTGGAAAACCAGTGGTTGTCATTGATGACTGTCAGTTCCATCAGTGCGTCAAACTTTCCAAGTTTGAGACCGAGCACTCCATTAGCTTCATTCCGCCTGATGGTGAATTTGAGCTCATGAGGTAAATTCTTCAAAATAAACAACATTATATTATTATCAAAGGGTTCCCATTTTGGAAGAGTGGATCTGATTGGCTTTCAAAAAGGCTTCAAACTCTTAAGATCTTGATTGTACCAAGCATACTTCATTCAAAAATAAGCCTTAAAAGGCAATGAAGTGAATAATTATTGATTTCATTTATTTCTAAATTTTTTTTGTGCGTTTGTGCTCTCAAAAAAATGAAAAAAATGGCCGGCAGAAAAAAGGGCTCCGCCTGTCAATTGCATTGGAACTTATAGATGAATGAATGTAGTAGTGGGGACGCCGGTCATTTTCCTGCGAACACTACCATATGTGACATATCTTGCAATCGGACCCTAAGTTAGGATTTTTTACACCGTTCAAGTCTTTTGGTCGTTTGGTCTTTTATTGATTACGGTGGCCGAGTCTCTTTTGATGTCGGACATCTGCTAGTTGTAAACCCTCTCTTCTCTTTTCAAGTTTCAAAATTTTGAATCGACAGAAAAATAAATAATAATAATTCCTCTATTTTTTATGTTTTAAAATATGCTTTAAAATTTTAGATATCGCACAACCAAGGACATATCTCTGCCATTCCGAGTGATCCCGCTGGTCAGAGAAGTTGGTCGAACAAAAATGGAGGTCAAAGTGGTGCTCAAATCCAACTTCAAACAGTCGCTGCTTGGACAGAAGATTGAAGTCAAAATTCCAACCCCCCTCAACACCTCCGGGGTGCAGCTCATCTGCCTTAAGGGAAAGGCAAAGTACAAGGCCTCTGAAAACGCCATTGTTTGGAAGTAATTCTATATTTTAATCCAAAAATGAAAATGTTTTAATTCCGGGATTTTTTGATAAAGGATCAAGAGAATGGCTGGCCTGAAAGAAACACAGCTCTCTGCAGAAATTGAACTGCTGGAAACTGATACCAAAAAGAAGTGGACCAGACCTCCCATTTCCATGAACTTTGAGGTGAATTTGGAGAAAAGAAACTTAAAAAAAATTAAAATAATTCATGGAATTTTCCAGGTTCCATTTGCACCTTCCGGCTTCAAGGTGCGCTACCTGAAGGTGTTCGAGTCCAAACTGAACTACTCTGACCACGATGTGATCAAATGGGTGCGCTACATTGGTCGTAGCGGGCTGTATGAGACGCGCTGTTAATTGTCTGTCAAATCAACGGGGAATCTCAAGTGTAATCCGACATTTAATCTAACAAAAAGAAATTCAAGTCGACCACATTCCAGCTACCAGATAAAGTTGTTCGGGCCTTTTTAACATGCTGCACACAAAATCGCATGAGGGTAGGACAATAACGAGGCAGATGAAACTAAAAATAAAGAGGATATATCTTATGTAGTTCCAGAATTGAAAGAAAAAACCTTACGGTTTATCTTGTTTCGAGTGTGCTGGTGATAAATCTATTCTATTATTTGTCGGTTGAACCTATTTTCTATTGTAGTTTTGTTACGAACTTTGTTGAGCCTCATTAAAAAACATCAGCTCTTGTTTTTCCAAATAAAAAAAATTAAGTATCCTGTAAAATCGAAGTAGTGGCATATATGTAAGAGGTATGTGTATGAAATGGATATCAATATGATTAATATGAAACAGTTACTGTTGCAGCGATCAAGCATAAAAATGTATGATGCATTCAAATAAATGATATGATGTTATAGAAGTCAATTCAGCAATTGTTTTGCTAGAAGATTTAACAACTCTAAAACGTTTTACTTTATTATTAAAATTTTATAAAGTTAATTAACATACTGAATCTACTTCACATATAAGTTGGGGTGGAGAATTAATGATCGATATAACTATTTGACCAATATAAAATATTCTGTATACTTTCTCAGTATCCCAAAAGTCATTTAAATAATTTAAAAATATCAAAATGCGTTTTTTTTTTCAAGATAATGTACAGAAAATTTCAAATTTCATCTTGCGAAAATATTAATTTTTTATCATTGATAAAAGGTCAATTTTCGAAAAAAAGAGTTTCACTATGGCACATTCAAATCAAGCCAAAATGTCAACGGTTGTTGAATTTTTTCAGTAATGGGCGATCGGGGGGCAAAAGGATGTTTTATTTATTTAGGCTCTTTATTTATTACAGTTTACAGAGCTCTAAAAATTTCAAGGCGTAATTTATTTTAATATTTATGTAATTTTTAAAATGTGTTATACAAGAATTTTGTTGTTTATTGATTTATTTTTATCTCCGCAAAATGTTTTTATTTCACTATAAACAAACACGCCCAAATATTATGCTATGAAAATGGAAATATATTTTATTTTATGTATTAATTGTTCTGATTGTTCTTATCATTTTTTATTCTTCTCATTCAATACAAAACATTTAAATTGGGAGAAAAAGAGAAGAAGGGGTCTCTCATGGTAAAACTTATGAGTTTTCAATTGTTTCAAAATAATAATAGTAATAACCAACAGGTGAAAAAATTACTTCATATATAACCACATAAGTTTTATGTGACAAAAATTTTTTTTTTCAACAATGAACTTTTGTTTTTAATATGATGTGCATGAGCTCTGCTCTAGACTTTTACACACTGAGCAGAGCAAACGCGCTTTCCCTTAAGAGCATGAGCACCATTGCCCAACTTGAGTTTGGCGCTTCGCCGTTCTGGCCTATCGGCACGTGTGACCTGCGTCAAAACAAGAAATCGACGGCGCTGTTATGCAGATGGCTGCTTGAAGGGTTGCCTGCATCTGCAACAGGAGCGAATCGGCCCGTTTCGCGGCGCGGCCGATGACCTTTGGCCTGGTGAGTACCGCCCCCGGCCGGCCCGCCCCCGGGGCCCGCGTCCGGCGCCTCGGCCTGGCCCCGAGCGGCGACGTCGGCCCGAGATCGAAGCAGGCCCGGAACGCAGCAAGGTGTTGCTGCTCGGCAATTTGTCACCTGTTCCAGTCAATACTAAATTATGCATCACCGGCGACGACCGGTGACCGGTGCCCTTTTGGTGGGTCCCTTTCCGAGACTGTATGGGCCCTGCGACGAGTCGTGCCAACGCGTGTCCTGAGACCCCGCCGCGTTTAAATGGACAATCTGCGGCCCATCCCCCTTTTTAAATGCCCTTAATTGTCAAACCCGAGAAGGTATTTAAACATGCAGAGGTCTAATCCGTCGAATGACATCTCCATACGTTGGGGCAGTTTTCATGATACGAAGCTAGTTTGAAATTAAATGGAAAAAATGAAGTTAGATAGAAAATGTGAAAATGCAACTAAATTTGATTAATTTTTGCAACTGCGCTGACAATATATTTATTATTTTTGGTTTTAGTATTACTCAATAAAATTGCGTTTTAATAAAATTTCTCAAGACACAAAAGCATTAAAAAAAATTAATTAAGTAATTATAGCAAATTCCAAACAATACAAAATAGATTGAAAAATATTTTTTTTTGGCGGACACATAACTAATATATTTTTTTGTTCAATTATTTTAAACCAATGTTTGATATTTTTTAGATTATGTATTCATATTGGCACGAGGCTTGTGTTTTATGGAAAAAAGGAAGATGCAGCTTAGATTACACTTTCTATATTTATACCGCGCTGATCTCTCTCTTCTTTACAACTTATGACTCATTCTTTCATTATAGAGCGATTCTCTGTTTTGCTTGAAAACGTCACAAACCTCTTGTGTGTGTATTTGCGAACGCCCTTAAAACACTTCTTCCTATTTAATTTTTAATATTATAGTAGAATTAAAAAGTAGGGCAATTTATTTTACAAAAAATTTTAATGTAAGCAGTACCCAGTTCTATAAAATTTATTAGACCAAAAATATTTAAACGTAAAATTTAAAAATTGATGTAAAAAAAATCTCACTGCAGTGGATGTGGTATTTTGATCTGCGAAGTTTTAGCAAAATACTTGTTAGTGGTAGTGCTGTCTTTTCCAACAGTTAATTTTTTTTGAGTAAATTTTTTACAACAGTTTAATGTAATAATTTGTAACAATGTGGACGAATAAACAACAATAATAATCTGTAAATTAAAAAAACTGAAGTTTAAAATTAATTCAAATACAATGATAATTAAAAATGTCTATTTTTCTTAAAGATAACATTTTGCGTGAGATAAATAATTTTTATCGAAACTTTCATCTGATGTGAGGCATTTTATCTGCGTATATATGCGGGCTGCGTCTGTTTCCCTTTCTATTTTGGAATTTGGATGCAGCAGTGAAATTCCACAATGCACCGCGGGGGCTTAAAATAGAGCTGCCGCTAGGACCGCTCAAAGTTCAAAAGAGTATCGCCGGCCAGAATTTTGCACGACCAATTAAAGACAAGACAGATGATAAACACTAACACTGCCTGCGCATTCAATTTGACAAATTTTTCTGATGCTCAATTTTGATTGCTCAAAAGGCTTGTATCAGTTTTGAAAATTGATATTGAAGTAAATATCACCGACGATTATTTAAATATTAAAATCTAAAACAACAAGTTCTTTTAGTATTTATATTAATGTTTATTTCCCTTAACCAATTACACAGAACATAAAATTTTATGTTCATAGTGTACACAATCAAAACAGATTTAAAGTTGATCATTTGAGGGGTGAATTTAAATTTAAAATATTAGTCTAACGCACTATTTTTGCCAATTTTCGAATTTTCTTTCCTAATAAAGTTAGCAAATAATAAAACGACTTATTTGATACAATAATAAGTATAAAATAAAAATATCGATTTTATCTAATTTTACTATTAGTTGTAAGTTTTTTCACTGTCCAAATAAACCATGATTTATATCCAGTTGATAAAATTACTAAACCTCAAATTAGTCAAAAAATTAAGCAATGAGAAAGAAAGAAAAAAATCATGTAACGGGGAATTAGTCTTGTCAGCGGTTACAAAATTTTGACCCCCATGTCTGCGACTGCTGCTGTGATGAGCAATTTATAAGTCGTCGCAGCTCTCACATACCATTGATAGGTTTCCCTGCTCTTTCGCCAGCTCGTCCCTCATCCACCGGTCTCGGTCAGTGAGCGCCCGAGTGACATCCTCGTCGCGTGTCCCTTCCTTTGCACTGCATTATTTTTGCTACTGAAGCTGTCACTCGCCTCTCAAGGTCGTGTTCTATCTGTTGGCAGATCCGGCACCCTGGAGCGGCAGCAGCCTGAGAGTGGTTTTTCCAACCAGAGACTGATTGTGAGCCTTTTCGAGTGTCGTTTTTTCGTCCGAGGAAAGTGTGAAACTTATTGATTTTGTGCGCGTTTTTTCTCTTGACTGTGATCCTCAACCAATGGCATCCTGCAGATCAACTTAAAGAAAAACAGTGCCATCAAAAGGGTGAGTACTCACATTTGACAATATAATGAAAAATACTAAGTTATTTTTTTATAAAATTATTAATTTTTAATTAAAATTAAAAAAGAATCAATCTAATTTTTTGATTTGCAATTAATTACCGTGTGAAATTTTTAGCCGATTGACTATTATTTCCGAACTTTGCATTAATATGACAAAAAAAATTGTAAAAACACACGAATAATCGAGTAAAATGACACCTGCGCACATCAGTTAAGAGAAACAGAAAAACGGACTAAAAACTAATATAAAAATAAAATATGATCAAATGAACTTCAAGTATAAAAATGCAATAAGTTGAACATTTCTATCCATGAAATTCCGCTGTACCTCTATAGGAATTAAAAATTAATTTAATACTATTATTTATTAAATATTCTATCCCGGCGGCTGGGGTCAGGGCTTGAAAAAGTTACGTTTCTTCTTCTTGCCAGTTAGTTCACAATAATTCAGGAAATCATAGTGCATTGATCACTGCGACAGGCAGATTCGGGAGAAATTGCAGGCATTTTCCGTGTCTGCAGTGCAAGTTCGGCAGTGTTTTCTGCGTCTGCGGTTTCCATCAGACAATCCATGCTCACATTCATGATCACCATCATCCTTGAAATTTCTAACAAGCAAACTCTGCCTATTTCTCCTCTTTCCCTGGTCCAGTGGGCGCCAAAGGTCACCATATTGGATCTGAAAAGGAGGATCCCAGCCCTTGCGCGATTTAGCAGGCCTGTCTGCTACCGCTGGTATGACCTTTCCCAAGAGGGATAAATAATTAAAATAAATCTAACAAATACGTACGTTAAAAAAAAGATTGAAGCTTTACCTCTGATTTGCAAAGCTTAAAAAAGGACACAGGTCAACATAAAATTTTGTTTTGGCCTGAAAAAACGTACTATTTTTGTTATATTGGGAAGGATTTTGATATTTCGTAACATTTTAAAATAAGTTAAAAAAAAGTATAGATGATTAAAAACCATTTTTGCCAATTAAAAATATTGCCGACCAGAAGGCAGGTTTGACCTGCAACGGACGTAAAATGCAAAGTAGGTGCGTGATCTTGCGATGGTGGAGTGAGTCAGCGACGAGGCCCTACAGCACATTTCTGTGGCGAAAGTTCGCGTGCGCTGCCTGCACCGAGTCTATTTTCCGTCAGTCTCTCTCGGCGCCGCTAATTGTTAGCAAGTTCACCTCTGAACTTGCCAATTAGTGCCCTCTCGCGGGTGGTGCGCGCCCTCAATCCAAAAAGATCCACACGTCCTTTTGATCCGCTCTTTCTCTCTCGCGCTCTGATTGCCACAATCAAAAGTTTGCACGGCTTCTAACCCTCTGAATTTGTTTAATTCACACGATACATTTTTTATTCGGCCTCGTTCAGTGTGAAAGGCCTAAATCAGCGCAAAAGTAGACAGTGAAGCAATGGGTATTAATTAGAAATAAGATACTCTTTGGAATTGTTTTGAAACTTTCAAATTAATTTATTGATGCAATCTTCGCTTTAAAAACAATATTAAATATTATTTCAAATAACATATATAAACGATATAAACTTTCTATAGAAATTGCAATATTTTATACTTTTATAAATTCAGAAAAATCCCAAAACACTATCATTTTAAATTTAAATATTTATTATTTTATTGTATTAAAAATAACAGTTTCATCGTTAATTCAATATTCAAAAATGTATTTTTTTAAGATTATAGAAAAAAATTTGATTTCAAATTTATATACATTATTTCACACAATTATTTTGCGATTTGGTTTTTAATATTTATTATTTTTGTCAGAGCGGTTGAGAGGTAGCAAAGTCAACATAACTTAATGAAAGAAATCGTGTAATGAAACTTTCAAAAATTATTTAAAAAAAAAAAAATAAGTAAAATAAGCCAGTTAATAATAAAGATATAATGCAAATTTTCGATGCATTCAGCCAATTTTTTAATGGGTTTGAGTTTGATTTTTTTGTTGTTGAACAAAAATAATCTCGATACAACACACCCCTCCTTATCTTCACTGCTGATAAAATGTGGGTGTTTTTTATAACTTCAAAGTATTCCTTCACTAGAACACAATCAGTGGAAGCGTGTTGTCGAGCACTGATTGAGTGAAAATTGCTCGGCTCACTCCAGCGGGCGATGCATTTGAATAAAATTGCAATTGTGCAGCAAATTGCATTTATCTCTGCACGTTCAGTTTATCAAATTGTCGTGCGTGCAACTATTCAGGGCATTATCTCTTTTTTTTGCATAAGAAAAAAAGATCAAAATAGTGTGTCAATTTTTTTTAAAACCTTGTCCATTCGCACTCCGATTCCTCCAATTTACTCTGGCTGAGAGGGATTCAGATAGTTCTGCGCTCATTCTAATCTAAATTTAAGCACATCTAGATAAATTGAATGAAAAAACGGCGGATGCTGGGTCGCAGGTGATAAACGAGTTATTCTCACAATAAGCCTTTGTTGTCGCTTCATTATATATAAAAAAAAAAAAAAAAAAAAAAACGAGTCTGTTGTTCGCCCCGCTGAACCACACACACACAAGAGAGGGCATATTTGTGCCAATTAAAATAACTTGAGCTCTATCTCTCTGTTATGCGTATAATTTGAATCAATTTAAGAGACCTCTTGAACTTTGAAGATGTGTGAAATTATTTATATTTACAAAAAAAGTATTATAGTTTCGTCTTAATAATATAATCATGTATTTTTATCATTCGCGGTTTCAAAGATAAAAAAATATAATGTGTAGGACTGAAATTTTAAATTAACTAGTAAAACAACCAAATATTATATTTTATTAATTTCAGTTTGTTATTTCTATATGATTTTAAATCTTTGAAATGACTATCAATTTAAATTTTTTTTATAAGTTCACAGAGATATAGGAATAAAAAAAATTAATGAATTTATAAATTTGCTTTTTTACGTTTAAAAATTTTGATGTGAAAATTTTACTTGAAATTTAATTAGATCGAAATTGATCTGCAATAAATAACTCACTAAATTTGGCTTTAATGAACAAATAAATTGAAACAATTACAATATGAATGCAAACATAGGGAGTCTGCTGAATAATTTCTATTACACAACCTGTTGTACTTGAAATCTCAATAATCATGCTGATTCTCTAATTAGCAATTTTTCTTTTATTATTTAAAATGTTCAAATGAAAAAAATGCACACAAAGCCGAAGTTCGTGGAATGAAATGTGTATTTCAATCTAAAAAGTTTTAAGCAATTGCATAACTTCAACACATTTCCCGCCATAATTGCTGTCAACGTTTCAGAGTTGGGTGACCCAGTTTCAGATAATGCTTGATTTTATCCCCAAGTCGACGAGATGTGATTTGCGAGCGTTCGAACGTCTGTGCAGATAATCATAATGGTCCGCGAAGAGTAGCTCGGATGCAAATCAGGCTGTGTGCTCTCGCGAGCACTTGAAAGATTGATTGACCCGTAATAGTGATGAGCGCCAACAATGAAGCAAATTGGAGGGAAGCCTCGCAACATTATAGGTATGCGCTGCACGGCTCCGCGGGCGAACATTCAAGTTGACGTCACGCCTGGCTGGGCAATGCCACCATCTACGATTTCCAAATGCAAAGAGTCATGCACTCACTTTCGGCCGCCGGCACTAAAGCAGTCTCACGTGTATAAAGGTTCAGAAAGTACCAAACATTGTGTACTTCAAATATACAATATATATCAAACGCCCGCACGTAGATTTCAGTTTAAAAACATTAAAACCGATTTTCCTAAACACGCAAGTGTAAGAAAATGGTATCAAGTAAGTTGCACAACTTACATAAATTTGCTTCAAATAATCGTCTGAAAATACAATTGCTTTTGTATACTGAAAGTAAAAGTAGATAAACGAAAAAACAATTCGGATGCTTTTAAGAGTGTTTTTATTAATAATGTAAAATAAAAATCTAAAAATTATGGCGCAGGTTTCAAAATTTATCTTTTTCTACAATAAAGAAAACACAATTAAAATTAAATGAGAGGTTTGTATCTAAGGTTTATTATTGATTTTATTTTGGTTAGTACATTATATATATTTTTTAATTGAAATTTTTTTATGAGCACAGCAAGAGTTTAATTTAAAAATATGGCCATTTCTGGTTACATTATAAATCCTAAATTTTGAAATTAGCCAATGTATGAGCAGCACTTGAAGAGGCTAATGCATTGTACAATCCAAAAGTATTGCCAAACCTTAATTTTGTCGTTTCTTTACCACTTGGCGCTTCCCATAGTCAAGTCTCACCACCAAAATGAAATTCTTGTGATAAATAAATAATTTACAATTTTGTCGGATAAAATCGGTTGAATCTGAAAATTTGTTCTCGTGGGTCTGAATTTGTGCACGGCACGTCACAGAGGTGTGGTGAAATGCGTTTTAATTGCATGCCACTTTGCAAAATGCAAAGCAGCGGCTGATTAAAAGAGCCGTGGCGTGTGTTCGTTGCCGTATTTCAGCTGCAAAACATCCATCCCGCCGACTGCATTTCCAACTGCACACTTTTTGCCCCGGCCGACGACACACACATGTGCATTCACACTCGAGTGTTTTGTGTGCAGTTTGGCTCGCTTTGTAATTAATTCGCGCTGCAATTAGTGAATTGGATTACACGCTGATTGCAAATGCACACGTAGAGTTTGCCACCGGATAAATAAATTATACAATCTCTCTCTCGCTGTTTGTGACACGCTTTGCTGCAAACTCTTGCTGCCTGGCAGTTCGTTTGTCGACATTGTTTCTTATACAATTAATTCATCCCCACCAGCACAATATTACGTACATTATTTATGTGTGTTTAAGTTTGTAAATAATGCATTCAAACCAGGCGCTTTTGTCTTCGCGCGTGCAACGGGTTCCGATTAATTTCTCCTTCCTTTGGATCTTTTGTTATGCTATATTATTCGATTCCATTTTAAGTCTTTTTTTATTTGCTGTACAGTGTAGTGATAATTTAATGATCAATTG